ATTGGTTGGTAATGTTGAATATTATGTATATAAAGTATGGGTGAGATGATAATAGTACTAAAATTTATTTAAGAAAATTGATAGGTAAATGATATTTAATCCTACCATATACAACTGTTTTCATTTTCTTTCTACTCTTTGTTTTTTAATGTCCATGCTGGCCATTAGAAATGTCTTCATTGACTATACTATGTATTTTGAAATAATTTTAAACTTACAGAAAAGTTACAAGAATAATACAAAGAGCTCTCATAAACCTTATACCCAGATTCCCTAATTTTTGACAATTTGCATTTGCTTTATCATTCTTTTTCAAACTATATGTCAATGTGTATTGGTATGTGCATTTTTTTTTCCTGAACCATTTGAACAGAGGTGATACTCCCCTTACCCCTGAAGCTGAAAGTGTGAGTTCCTAGACAAATAGCCCCACCTAGGTACTTACTAGAAATGCAATTTCTCAGGACTCTTCTGGACCTGTGGGGGTGGGATGGCAAGCAGTCGGTTTTAACAAACCCTCTAGGTAATTCTAACGAATGCTGAAGTTTGAAAAACACTGCTTAGTGTATACCTTCAACAAACAACTCTAATGTAAATATCCACAATACAACTACCAAAAGCAAGACATTACCAATGAAATACTGCCATCTAATATAGTACTATCATTCCTATTGTATTTAATAGGTTCTAATTTGTTGCTATCATTATTTAATGGTCAAAGTGTCCTAAATTTGACCAGTTTGAGCGCTTTAAGTTGGTTTATCTTTTTGGTATGTTCCCATCTTTGAGGACTTTCTTAGTTTGTAACATAACAAAATGATTTGGGCTCATCATTTACTTTCCTTGCCTCAGCTTTGGAATAGCCATTTCTCCAAGTACTGCTGGTTCCTCTTATTGAGGAACAGTAATGTAAAATCCAAGATCTAGGTACTAGGTAATTTCCAGTATTTCTTAAAGTGGACCTAGGACTTTGTTTGCCACATATGGCCATGTAGATTAGACACTGTAAAACTTAAGGGGGAGGGGATCATTCATAAATTACTTGTATGGCTCTCAACATAACTTCCAAACTACTTTTGGAAGTTTACAGTGCTATGACAAATTTCTGAAATGTATCCATTTCACCACATTCCTAGAACATGGATTTTTCTTATCTCTGTTTTCTACTTAGATAACTTCTTAAACCATACATTTGGCAATTCTCATGGTGAAATGTGATGCTGTGTGATAAACTGTAGATGTGAATGTCAATTTAATTAATTTCCTGCCTTGTATTGTGCTTGACAGGACCTCAAGATTCAGTTCCTTTCTGCTCCTAGATCAAGTGAACAGCTCGCTTACTATGTATCTAATACCCTACATGAAAGTAGTACTATTTTTATATTAAATATAAATAAAACTGTTTCTCTTTCAGAATATTTTCATAAATAATATCCCAAAGAAACCTGTTATACATGATAATACAGGGAATAAGTTTCCATTTACTAGATTAAGAGTTTGTCTCCTTTTTTCAAAACAAAACCAATGCTTAGGATATTCTTTCCTCTGAAGATTTAATATATTGTTCTGATAATTTTTTTGTCAGCTGTCTGTGAGCTCTTTCAAAGAAAAGTGACATGTAATTCATAAAAATAAAGGCCAACCTCAATTATCAATACATTTTTTGTCAAAAAAGGTATTCTTCTGTTTCTTCCTTTTAGTTACTATACTTACATTTTCATTTTTATCATTTATCAATTTTTTCCTCAGATTTGTATTTGCAACCAAATGGTTTATATAAGTACATTAGTATTACCTTTTTTTGTTCTTACTTGATTTATTTTGTAGGTTTCAGGAGGAGAAGATGAAATCCAACAATTGCAAAAAGCATTGCTTGATTACTTGGATGAAAACACTGAGACTGATCCTTCACTAGTGGTAGGATTCTTTTCTCCTTTTTTTTAAGAGATATCACATGTTTACTCAAATTGGGTCTGAAGGAAAGTTGGGACGTATCATGAAGAAGAAAGTTCTTTGGATATTGATTTTTGAAACAAAGGGATGCTTGATAATTTAAACAGAAAAGAATGGTCATGGGTTGATGTGTCTTGTAAAGAATTCTGGTACCAATACTGTAGTATATTAAAAGGGTATGACACAGGAAATATTT